CCCCCCCCCCCCCCCCCCCCCCCATTATATAAAGGGGACCCCAATCATTTGTAAACACCATCAATCACTGGCAAAGAATATACACTCTTACTTTTTGGCTCATATTTCGTCAGAATCATCTCTTTACTTAATTGTTCTTGCTTTACTGTTCTTAACCAACCTCGAGGCTACCTTAGCTCGAGGTCGAGACTGTCTTGCACGCTAGTTTGACTCTACTTATTTCCTTCATTTACACGCTAGTTTTCTTGGTTATTAATTAGTATTGAACTAAATCACATATCTTTAAAACCATAAATCAAATTTAATTGTTACTCGTATTTTCGAGGTAAACAGTTTGGCGCCGACCGTGGGGCTAAAGATAATAGTGATTATTTCAGTACTGATTTTGATAACACACGTTATTTTCACACTTGTTCTTGTCAAGAATTTTTGTTCTCAGGTTAAAACATGCCAAACTCGCAAAACGCACCCGTACATGGCGACAGGGGTCTTGGATTTCATGGGGAAAACAACAATGTAGGGGTCGGTGTACCACCGATCAACCCTGGGGAAGCGCCGAATGGGGAACTAAGGGTGTCTAACGGGGCGAGTTTAACCGTAACCGGACTGGCCTAGACCGATTAAAACCGGAACCGGTACAAGGGGGCTGGGTTGGGCTGGGTTAAAGGGGTAGGGGGTTGGTCCGTCTACTTAAATTCTATCGGTTAAGCGGACCGGTCAAACCCGATCAACGGTTTTTACTGTTCAACCGGTTAACCGGCCCGGACCGGACCGGCCCGGACCGGACCGACCCAGACCGGTATAACGGCTAGTTAGTTTTTTTTTTTTTTTTAATAGTGGGCCTTATATCTGACCGTTGGCAACGGTCTTCTGCCCTTATGGCCGTTGCCCAATGGCAAATTTTCACAAATAGCCCATTTTTGGGTTTTTAAAAAAAAAAAATTAAAACCCCTTTGAAAAACTATAAATACACCCCCACCCCCCACCCCTCTTCTTCATTTCTTCACTCATCTCTCATTTCTCAATCTCAATTCTCATATTCTCTCATTCTTCAATCTTCACCTAAAGTGCAATCAACTATTTGGCTCTTTTTTTTTTTTTGGAATTTAATTTATCGTAGTATTTATTATTTGAAGTTTGAACAATTGAACTTCAAAATTGGAACAATTGACGTTTCTTCGTGGTAATATTGGAGTTGCGAAGCCTCATCAAGTGCTCAATTTATTGCCGAATTCGGTGCACTCCCTCCAATTTTTTCTCTTATTTACTATTTTATTTGCATATTTAATTTTAGCTAGTAGTTAAATTTTTACAATATGTTTAATGCTGCAAAAAGAGTTCGTAATAAGGTTACTAATCGGAGAAATAAAAAAAGAGGTAGTACTTCTGCTTCAGCATCTGGTAGTAATTTAAATGACTCTACACATGTTCCTGAAGCATTACCTGATAATAATATAGATTATGAACAATTACAGGAAAATATTGTGATGACCCGGCCCGTCGTCATGTGAGTACTGCCCCGTTTCCCCCACATTATGCTTCTTCATATTTCACTATCAGTATTTGGTGTGTTATAATTGATTCGGATTGGTTTCGGTAGCCAATGAGACACTTAGTCTCTTTCAAGAAGGCTTAAGTTGGAAAAGTCAACCGGGCGTTGACTAATGAGTTAGAGGGCTCGGATGTGATTTTCGGTGTTTCGGTTAGCTTCGGGGGATGATTTGTGACTTAGGAGTGCGATCGGAATTGATTTTGGAGGTCCGGTGTAGAATTAGGCTTGAATTGGCGAAGTTAGTATTTTGGCGAATTCCGATTGTTAGGTGAGATTTTGATCCTAGGGTCGGAATAGAATTCCGAGAGTTGCAGTAGTTCCGTTAGGTGATTTTGGATGTGTGTGCAAAATTTTAGGTCATTCGGAGGTGTTTTGGTCGGGTTTTTGATCGAATGTGTAATTCGGAAGTTTTTAAGAAACTTAGGCTTGAATCCGATGTGATTTAATGGTTTTAGCGTTGTTAGATGTGTTTTGAGGATTGGAACAAGTTTGAATGAGGTGTTAGGATGTGTTGGTGTTTTTGGTTGAGGTCCCGGGGGGCCTCGGGGTGAATTCGAGTGGTTAAACGAGAGTTTTTGGAAATTGCTTCAGGTCTGAGATTTCTATCATCTGGTATTTCCACTTCTGCGGAAATGGACCGCAGAAGCGGTTCCGCAGAAGCGGGTGGAAAAGCGCAGAAGCGATCTTGTGTTGAATTGATGAGTTCCGCATAAGCG